CAGAGAAAAGCTCTACTTTTGACCACAGTCTCTTTCTTTAGAATAAATGGCCCCTATTCTTGTTGGCACAAGCCAAATGAGAAAAAGTCAAAACTTCTAACTTTATAAAAATGCAAAGTAGAGAACGCTGGCAGAGTAACAAGTCAGGAAAGAAATTACTTTTGGAGGAGAAAGGGAAACCAGGGCTGCCGTTTCAAAAGCGTCCCCATGATTTACTAAGGTTTTCCCATTTTCTCCCTAAAATACTATTGTATTGCGCCGATAAATGTGCACTTTCCAGTGTGATTCAGGATGCAATATATATGATCCTGTGTGGACACAATACTACAACCATGTTTACCAAAAGGGGCAAAATTAATCTTTTAAAAGCTAGGCAATTTCTAAGACTGAAAGATCATCCTGGTAATGGTGTAAAGATTAAATACCACAGCTCTTTCACTTTAAAAAGTTTACAAAGAAAGAATCGGTCCATAATATTTAGAATCATCAGCAAACTACCGCCCCGAGCTGGCCAGTTTATTGCAGAAGACATAATCCATCCATTTATGTATTGTCTATAGCAGGTTTCATGCTACAGAGTGGTTGCATGAGATTATATGGTCTAAAATATTTATCTACCCTTTACAGATTTACAGATACCCTTTACTAAAATATTTAGTATCTACCCTTTACCCTTGCCAACACCCAACTCAGAAAAAACCTCCCAAAATGAAACGCCACACATCTTAACAGGTGCCATGAAACTTCTATGCCTCTATTTGGGCATGAGACATGGTCTCTATTCTCCTTACTTCTCAACACATAGGTTTTATCTATTCTGCAAAATGACTAACTCTACAACTCATTTCACCAAAATAGTAAAAATTGCTTAACAATGTCAGGACATTACATCCAGATTTAAGGGGAAAAAACTCCAAATAAATTTTTCACCTCTGGGGATTAAGGAGTGCATTGTTGTGAGGAGCACTGAGTAATGTGCAGAATTGTTGAATCACTATATTGTACACCTTAAACTAATGTAACACTGTATGTTAACCATGTTCTAATTAAAATTAAAAATTTCACCTAACCAAATGAACTCCTTGTAAAGCAACATCTACTTGTTAACAGTATTCAGACTAACTGAAGGGAAATTTCACTGAGTTAATCAATTGCTAGTTTGCCCTTCTCTCAGTCGTTAAAGAAAGCCATATTAAAATGGAATTAAGGCTATGACAGCAAAGTATATTCCCTACTGAAAAAAGCACTCATATCTAAATAAAAATGCCATTACAGGATCATAAACTTCTTATGCTAAAGCTGACACCTATAAGCCTCAAATCAATGTCCTCTAGACTCACTGAGCTTGTTCTCATGATAGTGCCCATTTAAGGGTAAGAAGCCAAAGAAAGGTTATTTCCCTCTCATCACAATTCACCAGCCCATTATCTGGTCATCTTTAGCATCCCAGAAAAATGAAAAAAACATTGAAAGCAATGGAGTCAAACTCCAGCTTAGAACTGTTGAATAGCATGAAATGATGGAACTGTTGGAGGCAACTCTAAAGATTTGAAAGCACTGAAGGACATCTTTGTAATTGGTTCACAAGGACATGATTTACCATTAAAGTGCAATGATTACATTTCAGAAAACAAACCTCTAAAGATTAAATCAAATTATCAAGCTTAGTTCATAGCTCAACATAACACCAAAAAAATGAAGCAAACAGCTTAGTCTTAATTCATGGGAGAACTCAACCAGATGCTTCTCATCATACACAACCACTTGGAATAGGATCCACCTGTTTAATCTAACATGTAATTTTAGAAACAGCACTACAGGGGCACCTGGGTGGCTCAGTTGGTTAAGCGACTGCCTTCGGCTCAGGTCATGATCCTGGAGTCCCGGGATCGAGTCCCACATCGGGCTCCCTGCTCAGCAGAGTCTGCTTCTCCCTCTCACCCTCCTCCCTCTCATGCGCTCTCTCAAATAAATACTTAAAAAAAAAATAAAAATAAAAACAGCACTACATGCTCCTTGAAGCTTTCTTGAGTAACATGGTGTTAAGCAGTGAAAAAACAGCTAAAATTTATGCAGCAGCTGCTACTGTGTGCCCAAGATTTACGCCAGGTGCTCTTAATGATTTTCATCCTCAAACTCTTTGGGATATGAACATCTAGCAGTGTTAAGTATCCGGATTAAGGTCACAGCTCATAAGAGGCAAAGCCAGTTCTCAAATCATTTTTTTTTTTTTTTGGATTTTTTGAAGCTTTCCGGTGACACCAATGTGCAGACAAGTTTGGGAACCACTACTCTATGGGTTCTTACGCACACCAAGAGTTAGGACACTGTTGCACTGAACATGAAGCAGGAGTGTTCTTCCAGAAGACCTTGTGATTTAACATACTATAAACCTCAATCATTGTCCCAGATTAAGTTTCTACAAAACAAATACATTAAGGGTAGGTGGAGTGAACTTACAGGATTAACTGCACAATTTATGTCTCTTAACAAGAAAAACTCAATTACAAAACCTTTTAAAGTAGGTAATTACTGAATTACACATTTCCAAACTCTTAACTACAAACTTTTCAGGTCCACGTGTCCCAAAGTGTCCATATTCTATATAATCTTTTGTTGGAGCACCAAACCTTTTTAAGTTCTAGCATGCAGCCCTTAGCAAGGAAATAACATTAAGTAGCAAAACAGTATAACCGAGGCTTCTCTGCAGTACTTTGGAAGGCTCTGGGGGATTTTTCTATTTCTGCCCCCCCAACCCTACCATGGCCAGGTGGCCATTATAACCTCCAGAAACATAACTGTTCAAAAGACAGTCATAATATCTAGCTCTCAATTAGTGATATCCTATTACTTAAAAGCCCTAGCAATGTATCCCTAAGTTTATCATGTAACTGAAAAATAAAAATTAAAATCCCACTTGAAAGAAAAACTTCGAAAGGGTGTGCCTTTTCCAAATCCAGGTACTTAGATTCAAATAAAAGCACTTAATAAAACATCTTTTATAAAGTTATGAGTAGGAGATTATGGAGTATCCAAGTAGAATGTGATGTCAAGTTAACGACAGTTTTTTCTGAGTCAAAAACAAGTCGTTTATGACATATTCCTAAGTTTAAAGTATGTTCATATAACCATATTCTAACAGTACATAATAAACATTAGCAAAAGGAATTTAAAGTATTTGTTTATAGGAACCAGGCCCTTCAAGACACTAATTTTTAATAGTTAATATAAATCTGATTGATTCAATCTGATTTATTTTTAGGTTAACACTTCTACATTTATTTCAACTTTAATAGAAATAGATTTATGGAAATATAAATAATTCTAATCCTTAATATAAAGCAAATAAGATACAATTTTTGAAATACTATTTTAAACCCATTACCATAAGAATTTTGCTCATTAATTACATTTCATACCAAAAAGGGGGGGGGGGAGTGCTGAGAGAAGGGAGGTAGTAATGAGGGAAGGATTACAAAGGAGGGGACACCAAAGAACTTCTGGGGGTGACAGGTATTGTTCACTCCCTTGATTGCAGTGATGGTTTCACAAGTCAAAGCTTATCAAATTATATTCAAGTGTGTCGTTTACATCAATTTATACTTTAATAAAGTCAATTGTAAAAAATAATCTGCTGCCGAGAAACTGAGTACGAAGCAGCCCAAAGTACTTTTTTTTTCAGATCCTTTTGTCTTTCTTCAGACCTTCATGGCCTATTCTGAGTTCAACAATTCCACACTACATGTGCAATTTAACTAGTTTCTGTACTTATGAGCTCCCTTTCAAACAATATGGTCCAAACTCTTTACCAGCTACCCATTATTCAGAGAGCAAGTTAAAATTACACTAAGCTTTATTTCTATTGAAATACTTTGTATGGATCCACCCACTCAGTAACCAAACTTGTTGCTATCATTTAATAAGAATAACCACACCACTGCACCTTACCATGCTTACTAAACACATTCGATTATCAATGCCATGAATGCACAATAAACATTACTTAACTGCTGATGAGAATTAAGGCCAAAAAAAAAAAAATTATCTGAATATAAAGCAGAAGATGCCAGAAAATTTTTCTTAAGAAATCTCTTCTGAAAGCTATTCAGTGGAAACAGTTAAGGTAGATTTTTAATGTAAACCACATTTCTCAGGTCCCTTCTAGCTTATGGTTAGCAAATACATTTCCCATCTGATAGATTTCATTAATCTGTTAAACAAACAGTGCAATCTAAGAGTCCCCCAAACATTCATTATGTGATACTGACAAAGCTTTGTCAAAGCATACTTGTAGATGTAATAGTACATTTAACGCTAGGTGACTGGACTGCATTGTGGTATATTATAGAGTAAGAATCTATTTTAAAAGGTAACTTTAAGACCTATTTAATACTTTGTTACCACTCTAACTCATCCTCTTAGTTTTGTGGGGATGAAACTGTGCTTTTAATTTCCCCATCACCACCAGTCTCAGTGTGAACAAAAAAATCTGGCTTCTCTTGAAAGCTGGGGAGTTTGGGCAGGATCTTGAGGTAGAAACAGCAAAAACACTGCAGCCTTCTGAGAAAATACAATTTAAAACAAGAAAAAACTCTGATGATTAGCTTAATCTAACGGAAAACCTACATTCTTGCTCTGAGATTACACCCTTTACAAAATCAGCATATCATTTAAACATGGATGCAAATGGAATGAGGAAAGCTATAAGCAAATGCAGGTAAACAAAACCAGAAAAATCGAAATACAAACATACAGAGCCAAATTACTCTTCCAGTCAGCAATGAACAGTAATGATTCTAAAATATGCAAGTGAAAAATAAAGTGACTATTTAACAACATTCATTTAATAAACTTGTTAAGCATTTGATAATAAAAAGGATTTTTTTCATAACTTTCTTTTTGTAAAGAAAGTAATCAGTATAACTTTGTTTTAGTAAGTTAATAAAGCATATTGTGTTTAGAAACCAAAACCTCGAACAGTACTAGAGAGAACAACAATATTCTGAAAATCCAGTTTATTTTCCATGTGTGGACAGATCCAGTCAGTGTGATCAGTTTTTCTGCATGTGTAATAATTTATCAAAATAAGTTTTCCCACAAGACTCTTCCATCAACTCTGAAAGTCCTGGTCTGACAACATATCCAAATAAAGTTCTTGAAAATCACCTCTTAAAATTTGGAAGAAAGTGTGTCAAGTCTTTCCTGTAACGTTTACCGAACTACAAATGGCTAAAGAGCAATTTATGTTTTAAAAGGTGACTAGTACAACACTTGAGTTCAGGAAATTAATGTTTTAGTGCACTCTGCTCCAGTTTTAGCCAACATGCTACATTGTCCTTTGGGGGCGGGGAGCACAAAGTGGACTTGAAGATTTCCATTGTACGAAAAAGATAGAGGACTCTGCAAGCAAAACAGTGTAAGCTGCCTTTTTTCTTAAGACCTGTTCGACATTTTAAGACAGAAGCTTTGCAAAACATTACACAATTTTTTATTATTAAATGAGAAAATCTCATTTGTTACATCGTCACATTGCTAGTCAGAGAAATGCTGCAGTGATGAAGAAAGTCAATGTTGGATCAACCAAAGTCCTCATTTCTACAACATTCATTTACAAAGAAATAATGTTCAACACAGCCCAACACAACATTCTTGGTTTTCTTCATAGTGAAGTCCCTCAAAAAAAATCATCTTCTAATGGGGTATTTTACTACATAAATTATAGTTCTTCATTTTTACAATTCACCCCAAACTGTATGAGAGATGTATCACACTAAAATTTCTAAAGCTGTTAGGAAATCCTTCACACATCGTCATCATCTGATGTGTCACTGCTACTTGTCTCTGTGTCATCATTCTCAATAGTGGGTTTGAAAGTGCTGTTTTTCCAGGGTCCAAACTTGAAGTCACAGATGAGGCCATTTTTCAAAATACCATTTTTCCTCAGACCATTCTTCTGTAACTAAAATATCAAAAATAAATATATTAAATACATAATCTACCCTCCAAGGGTTACTTATAAATTAAGAATACTGTAATAATTCAATGTTACCATCAATACATTAATAAAATTGTATTCTACCCTGTATCATTTCTGGAAAACTAGTTAAATACAGTTAATTGATCCAACTGTTCTAACGAAGTATTTCCGAGGACTAAATCCTTACCTTTTAGAGAACCACAATTAACATCTACCAAACCAAAAAGTAAGTAAGTAAAATTAGTGTTTATTATTAGCATAGTGGAAAGAGCACAGATTGTCAATCCAGACTGAGTAGGTGTGGACATAACCCTATCACTTGTTAAGGTACCAAATAACCCTTTTCCAAATTTTCATTTTCTTAAGTGAAAGTTGTACTAAATACCTTCAAATGTAACCAGAATAAAATCAGCAGCCATTATGCTTTAGCTGTTATTTTTATTATTCTGACCAAACTGGACTTTATTAACACACCCCACAAACTGCTTTATTCACACTTTACAGAATAAGTAGAATACAAACTATTCCAGTAGGTAAGTATTCAAATGAGGTGCACAAAATAACAAAATCAAATACAGCCCTTTGCTTAACCAGAGAGATTCTAATACTGAAGAAAAAAAAATAGTCTTCCATTTTCGAAAATGAGAAATCAGAACTAAACGTGTTAGGTGGTAATAAGTAAGAACTGGGCCCAAAGATCACAAATTGGGGGTGGTGGGGAGGGGGGTGGTTAATCCAAATTAGAAACAATTTAAAGAAACAAAATTAAGTTACATTAATAATGGTAACACTATACTCTCTAATAACTCTGGTCTTCTAAATTTCTTTCATGAAAAATCAGTCTCTGGTAATTTACACCAAAATCTCTAAATACAACCTTCTAAGACCAAATCCACCTCTATATTATTATTTGGGCCTGTCTAGAAGTTTCACATTCTAGAGGGTGTTTTTTTTTTTTTAATCATTAAATCTTGAGCATTAGGTTAGGATCCAAATGAAAAGAGATGCTTACATCACAGCTAATTTTGTTATAGACTTTGACAAACAAGAAATAACAAGTCTAGAGTCTTAGCCCTCAATTGTCCTTTTGCCCTATTTAATTCTCTATTTTCCATAGCAGATTTCCTTTCTACCTAAATTATACAATTTAAGCTACCTCCCCTTCACTTTGAACAAATGACTTCATACCACCTTTACGGAGAAGAACCAAAGCCCATGTATGTATCCCCTGGTGTTCTCAGCCACTGTGATGATTACAAATACACCTTGACCCTTTCTTAAAGGTACACCTTTACCATCCCCCAAAGTTCTATCCTTGCTTTTCAAATACTTATCATCAGTGCTGCCTCATCTTTCCACAGCCTGAAATCAGCTGGAGAACTTTGATTTTTAAAAAAGGGAGAGAAAATCTTTTAAAAAAAGAAAAAACCCAAATCTTTTTTCTATTTTCTCTAAATGTCTGCACTGTTCCCACAAACATCTAACTTAGCATGTTCTTTTTAAAAGCCTCCTAAAAAACCAGCTCCTCCTTTACTCCTGTTTATAATGATACAATTATCAGCTCATAGGTTAACAAACTGGTAAATCCATACAAAGGACTACTACTCACCAAACACGGGTCCGTTTCAAAAGCATAAAAACAGCCAAATCTAAAACTATACAGTACTTGGTTCAATTACTGAAACATTCCAGAGGCAAATTATGGTGACAGAACACAAGTCAATGTCTGCCAGGGACTGCAGCTGGGAGTAGAATTGAATACCAAGGGGGATGATGGTTATACATCTGTCATCTGTCAAAACTCATCCCACTCTGCACTTAAAGTCAACGTTTTTATGTAAAATACACAGTATTAAAAAAAAGACCAAAAAATCCCTTAAAACATTAGCTTCACAACCATGTTATACGAAAAATAACATGGTTCACTAAGAACTTCTGAATAAAAAATTTAAAGTGGGAAGAAGAAATATGATATTGGAAAAGAAGTAAAATTATCTGTTCACAGATAACATGACCTTATATGTAGAACACCCTAAAGATTCCACACAAGAACTGAGAATATAGCAAAGCTGCACAATGAAGATCCACACACACGTCAGTTATGCTTCTGTAACAATGAATAATCCAAAAAGGAAATAAGAAAATTCTATTTGCCATAGTATTAAAAAGAATAAACACTTAGAAATAAATAAGGAATAAACAACCAAAAGGGGCCAAAAATTTCTACAATGCAACTATAAGTCACTGCTGAAAAAATTTAAAAAACACCAATATATGTAAAGACAGTCCATACTCCTGGATTAAAAGCCTTATTATTAGGATGTGAATATTACATCCAAAGCAATCTACAGATGAAATGCAATCCCTATCAAAATCCCAAAGGTTATTTTCTGCATAAGTAGAAAAACCCATCCTAAAATTCATATGGAATCTCAAAGGATTCCAAATAGCCAAAATAGCTTTTAAAAACAACTAAGTTGGAAGTTTCATGCTTCCTGGTCTCTAAACATTTCAGAGTTGAAGTCATCAAGACAATGTGGTACTGGCAAAAAATCAAACAGAAAAGACCAGTGGAATAGAAAGCCCAGAAATAAACCCTTGCATATACAGGTGATCCCTGAACAATACAAGGGTTAGAGGCACCAACCCGCCTCCTCCACCCCATGGAGTCGAAAATCCATGCATTTCTTTTGACTTCCCCAAAACTTAACTACTAACAGTCTACTGTTGACTAGGAAGCCTTACAGATAACAGAAAGGCAATTAATAATATATTTTGTATGTTATATATATTATATACAGTATTCTTACAATACAGGTAAAAAATGAAAATGTTAAGACAATCATGAGAAAATACAGGTACAATACTACAATCATAAGAGAAAAGACAGGCACAGTACTGTAAAAAAATCTGTATCTAAGTAGACTCATGCAGTTGAGATCTGTGTTCTTCAAGGAGCAACTGCATACTCAAATGATTTTTGACAAAGTTTTGACAGATTATATCCAAAGGAATGAAGGCAGGTCCTTACAACACAAACAAAAACTCAAATGGATCAAAGACTTAAACGTAAGAACCAAAACTATGGAACACCGAGAAGAAAACACAGGGGAAAGCTTCATGACATTCAGTTTGGCAACATTTCTGGAATATGACAGTAATAGTAGGGGGACCTAAGGGAAAAAATAGGTAAACACGACCTCATCAAAAATTTGAAACTTTCATGTATCAAAGAATATAATCAAAAGAGTAAAAAGGCTCTCTATGGAATGTGAGAAAGTATTTGTAAATCATGTAGGAGTTAAAATCCACAATACATAAAGAAGTACAACCACCTGATTAAAAATGGGCGAAGTACTTGAATACAACGTTTCTCCAAAGAGGATACACAAATGGCCATGCTCAATATCACTAACCAACACTGAAGTGCAAATTAAAACGACAATGAGATAACCACTTGGGAACCATTAGAATAGCTACTATCGAAAAATTAATTAATTCTTGAGCACCACTGGTGAGAATGTAAAATGGTGCAGCTACTGTGGAAAAATGGTATGGTGGTTCCTCAAAAAGTTTAACACAGATAACCGTATGATCCATCAATTCTAATTCTATCAAACATTTCCTAATACTCTTTCAAAAAAGAAACTGTGGAGACAAAAAACAAGATGTTTCAGAACTTGAAATATTCTTATGCAAGGAAAAGGATAAAAGGTGAAGCTATTTGGGAAGCTACTGATGTTTTTTACTTATCCCCATACTATTTAAAAAAAAAAAAAAAAGTCAGGGCGCCTGGGTGGCTCAGTCGTTAAGCGTCTGCCTTCGGCTCAGGTCATGATCCCAGGGTCCTGGGATCGAGCCCCGCATCGGGCTCCCTGCTCAGTGGGGAGCCTGCTTCTTCCTCTCCCACTCCCCCTGCTTGTGTTCCCTCTCTCGCTGTGTCTCTGTCAAATAAAATCTTTAAAAAAAAAAAAGTCTGGAACATGATAAATCATAGACATATTATTTATACTAATTCCTAAGCACTGCAGACTAGTTTAAAACAAAGGCAATTCTGACATATACTGTGATGTCTAATAAATTCCTAAAGAGAAAGGTATAAAAACCTCCCTTCCCTTAAAAAATGCTTAGCGTAATATGTTGTTCTGATTAAGGGAAGGCAATTTAAGGTGAACCTGTATGATCCAGGTCTTCTCACCTGTTCACTAATAACTTGGAATTCTCTCATTTCATCCTCAGTTAAGGGAGCACATGTTTCATCATTCTCACTGTCTTCTTGCCAGCCCATCTCCTTTAACAATCTGAAAAGAAGGTAGGTAATAGGAAATAGGTAAATTCAGAGCTTCACCCAAGTAGGATAATACCATTTACATCGTGTGCAAGAAAACACCATCCAGATCCATTATACAAAGTCCTCGAGACAAAAGAACTTGTTGGGGCGCCTGGGTGGCTCAGTCGTTAAGCGTCTGCCATCGGCTCAGGTCATGGTCCCAGGGTCCCCACATGTGCTCCCTGCTCGGCAGGAAGCCTGCTTCTCCCTCTCCCATTCCCCTGCTTGTGTTCCCTCCCTCACTGTGTCTCTGTCAAATAAATAAATAAAATCTTAAAAAAAAAAATTGTTTACTCTAATGCTTTCAATCTTTCTGAAAATGAAAAGTTAGTTAGATAAGATTAAGAATGAACCGTGCAATTGCTTTAACTTTGTTGTCAGAGGTTCTCCAGGCTGGAAATTTGCAAAAGGGTCTCTAGCTCAGGAACTGGGGAAAAAAAAATTGTTAAAAACTTAAACTAAAAGTAAAAGCAATAGTCCTCCTGGTGTTCTTTAATATCATCACAATCTATCATATTCTTAGCTACTCACTAGGTTTACTTTGAAAAGGCTGAGCTATCTTACCCGCTACCTTGCATTTTATAGTGTATTTACCTGTTGATATCATCTCCTACGTGTATGCCAGTCATCAACCTCAACACATATTTCAATGTGAAAGGAGCATTGTGTTCTACAGTAAGAGAAAGACCACTTTTTTAAAAGCTCTTAACTAGGATCTAAGTAAGTAAAATAAATATGGTTATTCTGTTTTCCTTCCATCCTAGGCAAAGAGAGCTTAAAAAAAAAAAAAATCAGCAGGGAACCAATGACTTTTCTCCAGTCAGGCAAATATGAAAATCAGTCATAGCTGATACATTTGACAACTATTTCAAAGTTTGTTTCTTATACAGCCACATATATTATACTGGTCTGTCTGTATTGGTTTTTTAATAATTATCTCTCTTAAGTATTTGTTATTTTATTTATACCTACTCATCTTTCAACTTGAGCCTGCCACAAAGGTCTTGTACCTTTTCAAATAATCTCACAGAGTATCAGTGCTCAGAGAATCTGAATAAAATTTAACACAACACCCATATTTTACATATAAAGAATCAAGATGATGTAAGTAAAATAACTTGCCTACTTGATGGAAAAGAAGCAAAGAGAATTCTGTTTTCTCCTTCTGAGTTAGTTTATATTGCAACAAACCCTTTAGATCAAAATGTCACAAATCGTTGTCAATTACTATTTCTCTCATTCCTTTTAATCATTTAACACTTCTTTTCCAACACACTGTCTTCACTCTTTTAACCTAGACAGCTTCTTATGGAATGGCATTTCCATTCCCAATGCCACCTAGTTCAGAGTCTAGAGACCTAGACTGATAAAACAATCTTATTTTTGCTAGATCCTTTCTTGTTTCACTATTAAAAACTGAATGTTAACTAAACAATAATGCAAATGAAACAAATTATTTCAAACTGTAAAGACGACAAGCATTTCTAAATGTCCAATCTCATACCTTTCCCTTTCCTTCCAGTAGGTGTAACAGTTAACTATTTCTGGAATAGCTTTCAAAACAAGTACTTTGCCCCACAGTTAGTAATATCACTGTGACAGTGATCTGTATCTTTGTTTTTTTCATTAGCGTTTCTCCTCATTCTCTCAAACTATTACCAAGTCACCCATACACCTTACACTTTCACAATACCCTCTAAGTGTTTCCAATTGCTTCCCACTTCCTAAAGAACTCATTAACTTTAACACCATGACCACAAATTCAAATTTCTTACATTAGAAAAAGCATAAGTTTAGAAGCAGAGGACTTCCTACTCTATCACACACAGGTATATAAGCCAAAGGCAAATTCCTTCACTTCCCTGAGCTATTTCTTCAAATGAAGAAGCTTTAATAGATCTCGAAGGCCCTGCCTCTTCAATGTCATCTCTAATTCTATTAAGGACTACATACTCCCTCAAGACACCTCACTCACTGCCCCTAAAACAAACTAGGTATGTATTCAACCCTAAATATCCCTTTCACACCCCCTTCTTGTCCTATTAATGTCTCACCTTTAAAGATTTAATTTAGCTCTGAATTACTCCTTCTGACTGGTACTCAAGCCATGAGATCTATCCCGAACTCCCTTGAATTTCTCTGGCACTCATTTGATGCTTTCAACAACTACCCCCCCGCCCCACCTGCTTAACGTTCAGGCTATCCTATCATGGTAATACACTGAAACTTGACAACAAAACTAAGAATATATGTTTTTAATATTTTATATGTTTCATTATTTTTCATTTTAAATTTGTTTACACATGTGAACTAAGAACTGTCATCCTTGAGAACTGTATCACTGACACCTGATTTGTTAAATTCAACCTATGCAAGTACTTAATATGCACGTAACTTAAGAATCACAAAGTTTACAAGAAATCTGAAGCCAGGGAAAAGAAATATCACTCCATTTTCAGAGAAATAAAACCTAAAATCTAAAAGAAGACATTAACTTTGTTACCTCAAAAAAAAAAAAGTATTAATATGTATCTGTAGAACACCTAGAAACATACACTATACAAAGCAGAAAGAAAACTCAAGCTAAGAAATTTAAATTAAAATGGTTCCCAAGTAGTAACACATTTACTTCCTCTTTTTATTGACTTGGGATCCTTTTTAGCAAATGCAACATTTCCACAAAATAATATACAGAACAAAACAGACATATATAATGAAATATTCATTAAGGTAGTCATCACTGATAATCTCTTTATGCAGCATGGGTTCCCCACCAACCATCCTAGAGTTTATTCCAATTCTGGATCTCCTCTTCTTGCTCTATTTGGCTTAGTTCCTAAATCCTATTCTCTCAATTTTCTCATGTTACTCGTCAGCAGAGGACCAAACTCTGTCAAGGTATGGAAAGTCAAGTCTCTCTTCCCTGCATCTTCAAGAACCAAAGAAGAAACCACCAAAATGCTTTCTACACTATGTCTGCAGATGAAGAAATAATAACATTAAATCATTCATTGTAGGTACTGGGGTTATAAGAATATTTTCTAAGTAACTGTGGCTCAACCTTCTTTTGCCACAAAATATTGAAGGCAAATTAAAAAAAAGGTACTGAAGTTTTGACTCTACTATTAAGTTTCAACTTTTACTACAGCCTTAACAGTTTCTACAAGTAAATAATTATCTTTATTCTTTTATTGCCTATGCTGTATCTCCCTAAAAAAGAATTCATCTTTTACTATCATTAGAACATATGCTTTGTACACTTTCTCTGCACAAGACTTGTTCTCTTCTATCAACTGCCTGACTAGAAATATTTAAATGACTACTGGTGAGAATGGGAACTGGAAAAACATCTTTGGGTACTAACGGGGCAGAATCTGATTAATTATGTGTGCGATTTGACCAATCAACTTCATTCCCAGTAGTCTGTTTTATACACACTTACACAAATGTTTAAGGATATAAATACAAGGATATTCACATGGGCACTTTTAAGATTTTATTTATTTACTTTGAAAGAGAAAAAGAGTGAAAGCAGGGGGAGGGGCAGGGGGAGAGAAAGAATCTTGAGCAAACTCCATGCTGACCACAGAATGCGACAAGTGGCTTGATCTCACGACCCTGAGATCATGACCTGAGCCAAAATCAAGAGTCAGACACTGAACTAACTGAGGTACCCAGATGCCTCACATGAGCACTACTTGTAAAAAAGAAACACAGGGAAGGAGATCCCTGATCAGTAGGTAAATAGTTTCATGAATTATATCCATACTACAGAATAGTAGCTTCAAAGGAGGTATACAATATTTCTACTAGAATGGGAAAAAATACTGAAATGTCTACATACACCTATCTTTTCAAATAGGAGTTTCTGCACGTATGACACTGCAACCATTACTTGGCCTATGATCAGAGTCACAAGTCATAAACTGTATCATGAGGTAAAGGGAATCCTACCCTTTGGGTGGGAATAAAGTGTGGTTACTGATCCATTCATACTAAATGCATAGTAACAAAATACAGTTTGCCCAAACAAGTAAATTTAAAGATATTACCTAGTTAAGTTAGCTTAAAATTAATTTAGTTAAATTAACTCTCATCAAATGGGCATTCACATTTATCATCCACCCAATAAATTATTTTAGGTAAAAGGAAGTCCAAGTTGGTATAGGAGGATTACAAAATTAAAACAAATGCCTATATTCTCATATACAATAGTTATAGCCACATCTAAAAAGAGCAAGACATGATCTGGTAAAGAGCGACAAAAACCATCATGGAGATAAAGAATAATGTATGAATTGGGTCAGAAAGACAAAGACTTAAAGGGGTCTTTAATATAAATTTTTAAAAGTTATTCCCCAGTGGGTATAAGCCTATGTCCCCACTGTCTTAGAATTAAATGAAGTTCTAAGAGAAATGGCATGAAACTAAACAGAAAGTCAAGTCAACCACCCAGGCTGTTAAGAAGTATCACTCCACACTGAGCCTGGTCCTAAAGGATGTTTAAAAAAAATTTTTTTTAAGATTTTATTTATTTATCAGAGAGAGAGAACACAAACAGGGGGAGCGGCAGGCAGAGGGAGAAGCAGGCTCCCCCCTGAGCAAGGAGCCGACATGGGACTCGATCCCAGGGCCCTGGGATCATGACCCGAGGCGAAGGTGGATGCTAAATAGGACTCGAGGACCCAGGCATCTCAGGAGGTAAAAATTTTTAATGGAAAAACAATTCAGTTTACACAAAGCAATTACAGGGTAATGTATGATAATATAACTGTATATTTTATTGCTTCAGCAGTTACACTGAAAAACTGCATAAATATGTATGGAATAAAGCCTATAAAAATGAAAACTATAAGGGCATCTAGGTGGCTCAGTCGGTTAAGCATCCACCTTCAGCTCAGGTCAGGATCTTAGGATCCTGGGATTAAGCCCCCACATAGGGCTCCCTGCTTAAAGGGGAGTCTGCTTCTCTCTCTCCCTCTGCCCCTCTTCCAGCTCATACTCTCTCTCCCCCTCTCAAATAAATAAGATCTTCAATAGAAAAAAAGAAAATTAATACTAGTATATATGGTAGAGAGCGTAAGTTTTGGTGCCGTAATTTCTCCCTTCATGGTGTTTGAGTTAAATCAGCTTAAGTGTATCTCTGTACCACAATTTAAGCTTCAATAAAAGTCTGCTTAATTAAAACAACAACAACAAAATCAAAAGGAATTAAACAGAAGTCCTTAAGTCCTTCATTTACTAATGCTGAACCCTGTGGTTTATTTTAAGATCACATGAAGGGTTATTTCTACAAAATACCTGCTCTTACCTCTACAATCCTAGAAGAAAACATAAAAGGTCACTCTAGACTTCAATACTCTTCAATTCTTAAACTTAAGAGTTCCCTATTTAAAAACTGTTTAAAGACTGTAATAATGGAAGCACAAAGCGCTCTTCAAAGTTTGCAAAAAAAAAAAAAATCACATATTGAGACAATTGTATATCCACATGGAAGAGGATTAATTTGGACCCCTATACCTCACACCATGAACAAAACGTGCAAAAAGGAATAAAGGGGAAAAAAACTGATAAAATGACTTCACCAAATTTAAAGTTTTTATATTTCAAAGGGCACCACTGAAAAAATGAAAAAACAACTCAGAATGGGAAAAAATATCTGCAAATTATGATTATGGACTTATATTAAAAAATATATACAGAACTCTTATACAATTCAGTAAGACAAATAATACAATTTAATAATGGGCAACGAATTTCAACAGGTATTTCTCCACAGAAGACATACAAATGGCTAACAAGTACTTGAAAAGATACTCAACACGGTCAACACTGATTTTTAAGTGAAATGCATTATTAAAAACCACAAAAAGATACTTTATATCCATTAGAATGGCTAAATCAAAGACAGATGGTAAAAGGTGTTGGTGAAAATATGCAGAAACTGGAAGCTTCATATATTGTTGATGAGAATGTAAAATGGTACTGTCATTTTGGAAAATAGTTTGGCAGTCTCAAACTGTTAAGCTTATATGTCCTAGCAATTCCACTCCTGATATCCACCCACCAAAAGAACGAAAAACATGTCCATACAAAAAGTTAGACATGAATGTTCCTACAGTAGCATTATCCAGAATACTCACCAAATACAAACTCAATACCCATCAAAACTGATGAACAAAATGTGAAAGAGCCATACAGTGTACTGTTAATAACGATACACAAGGTGTGACACACTCTACAACATGAATCTTGAAAGCATTATGCTAAGTGAAAGAAGCCAGACATAAAACACCAATATATGATTCTATGTATATAAAATATCCAGCAAAGGCAAGTCTATAAAGAAAACAGATTAGTAGTTACCTAAGACATAGAGGAAAATGGAGAAATAAATGCAAATGAGCACAAGGTTTCTTTTAAGGGAGATAGAAATGTAAAATCAGAATGTGAAGACAGTTGCACAGCTCTCAATATACCAAAAATCATTAACTGAACACTTAAAATAGGGGAAATTTGTGGTAAACAGCTCAATAAAACTGTTAAATCACATTTCTATACTAATATTAAAATCCTGGATGTAAAACATGCAGAGAAAAAAATGTAAAAATAAATACTAACCTGTGTTCTGCCTCAAGTGAACTGGAAAGAACATCGGTTTGTGGGAAGGTTGAAGACCGAATGATCTGCTGAGAAATTACTGAGGCATTGCCATTCTCCTGTGGAATTTCATTTTCATCAAAGTTTCGGTTTATATCCCTTTCTTGGTGAGTACTATTGCTGTTATGCAAATTAAATGAATCCTCATCCTGATTTTTAGGGAGTTAAAAAAAAAAAAAAAGAATGAGTTAGAGAATATAGCTGTTGAAAACTTTAAATAGATTCTGGTTAGATTTCCACATAGTAACTAAGTATTATAATCATTAAATTCAGGAGACCTTCTCAGAAGGTATAAAATTAAGCTGTGAAGGATACCCACGGCCTTCTGACTCTATGTCTTCACATTTATTCAACAAACGCCATCAAAAGGATGAAAGTAGGCAAGACGGGACAACAGAGAAGAAAACATCATTTTGCATAGAACAACAGAATGATAAAAATTTATACAAAGAGTAAACTAGTCTTGCTTTCAGGGAGATGACTTTTTTTTTTTTTTAACAGAGATGACTATTTTGATTAAAGTTTATTCAAAGGTCTTAAATGGTATCTGCCCAAATATTTCAATGATATGTTAATGTCAAACCAAGAGTTACCTTCTCTGAGCCAGCATGACTTTCATCTTCATGTTCCTCTTCTACTCTGTCCCTTTTCAATGCTTTCAAAAATTCACTCTTCTTATCAGTGCGCATACGTGTCAGTTTGGTTAGACGAGGCTGCTGATTAAGTTTGTCAACAGGTGAAGAGGAATTTGAGCGATTACACTAAGAAAAAAATTCAGAAATATTAATAAATACGTAGACAGAATCAATATAAAGTTAACTACCACAACTTCCTATTTCACCCTATTCACAATACAAAATTGATTTTGAAGTCTTATTTTCCTCTCTCCTTGTTTTATTTATCCCACTGAATGAGTAAAATTCTTTTTCTTATTCCATAAAACAATTAAGGTCTGACACTACTAACAACTACTGTTCTAAATTGAGAGCTTAAATATAATTTCATAAAACAGATCGTAAACCTATTTAAATATGCCTGTAATACATATACGACAGAGTTCTAAGGCTCTAATTTAAACAACTCCAATAAAATCTTTTTATAATTATTTACAAACAGATACACAGGGAGTTTATCAGGTAGGATTTCACCAAGGAAAATGTTTGTGGCAGAGCAGGAGGGAGATGGGGAGGGAAATGTACTAGAGCCCCTTTGTTTTTGGTGCTTTGACAGTGGAATACAACAGAAAACAGAATGTTAAAAACTCTGTGTCACAGGATTTTTAGCCAAGGAAAACTACCATAATGCCAAACTGTTGGCAATAATGTCTACAGACCATAAGGAATCTAAGCCACTATTACCAGCTGAGAATGCTGGTCCTCTGATCCCAGTTCTAAATTTCTAAATTTACTGGTTTACTAAAAAACAGTAAATGAGGGGCTATGATGTTCCAGTACAGTACACAGGGCAATTTCAAGTGTAGCAACATAGAAACAAATGTCTTTTGACCCTGAAGTAATCAGGGAACTCCCTGGTCTAGAAGCTTCAGAAACTTGGTCAAATGACAGAGATACTTAAGCTACCAGGCATTCAAAGTCCATAAAATGACAATATTCATCTTTCTCTTCCTCCTCCCCTCTCTGGCCCCTTGAGTGTTAACACTGATAAAATGTCTATAATCCCCAAAAGATTATATGATATAAATCCTCATTTTTAGTCAAGGTTCAATCTTACAGCATAGCATAACTATCACAAATGTCAAAATTGCAATTGTCATAATTCTTTTAAAAATTTGTACTTGTGGCTGATTAAGTGGGCATTTCATTGTATTATTTTCTCTACATTTTAGGATACTTGGGAATTTTGTTTAAAAATATTTAAATTATTCCTACTTAAAAGTGCAAAAATGATTAGCAAAGATCAAAGTATCTCAAGCAAGTCTTCCGAAAGAACGGAAATACCTCATTTTAATATATTCATTTAATGAATCTATGCCTTCAGCCTGTTAATTAAATTATCATGATTAAAATATGCTGCATTCCTCAGGAATAATTCCAGATGACATACCTCTTTCACTGAAGTTGTTGATGGACTAAAATTCTTGGCAGTTGATTTAAAAGCATTGAAGTTGCCAACACCATATGTAGACTCATGAGGGAAAGAAGTCCCAACTTTATTTTCTTTAGTTTGGCTTTTCCATTGTGTAGGCTAAAGAAAAACATACAAACATTAATGTGTTTCAAAAACAGATTATACGGAGAATAACAAAGTGAACCCTATAAAATAAAAATGGCTACATGCAACTCATAAAGCAATTATTTTTGTATTACATCTTAATCATTCCTACATATTTCTCTTTTATCTTTTCCTACAAATAAAATCAAAGGCTGGCATTCAGATAAAAACATCTGGCTGCAATGCTATTTTTTCAAAGTTTTATCAACCTAAAGTTAGCTTTGCTTTATCAAAAAACACAAGCAGGAGCTCCAAAAACATAAAACTGAACACCAAGGAAACAACACTATATATTATTAAGCATATATATCATAGATACATCTGGCAAAACGAAATTTTAGATTCCATTTACTACTAGTGAAACAAGAAAACATATACATGGACAAACACACCATTTAAAAGGTAACTAAAATTAATGACACACAATGAGCCAACTCTTCCCACTTAAAAGTCAGTGCCCCACCAACAACGCTCTCACTTTGGTGTAAAATTTTTAACATTCTTTTCCTAAGTAACTCAAATTAGTACCAACTTAAAACTTGCATTTTAACAATTTAGAACTTACTTTTGTAGGTGGAGCAGCAGGTTTAGGGACTAAGCCTTTATAAACACTTGGACCAGTCCCGTTCTTAACTGGTTGTGATTGAAGATTTCCTACCACTGGGAATCCAGATAGCTGTAAGTCTTTTGTATTACCTTTCTTAATGACCAGCATCCTTGGAGCTCTAGATTTAGGATTCGGAGGATATTCTGCATAAATAAAGCACAAGCAAGAGTTACACACAGCTTAAATTTTAGCATAAAATTAAATCACCCAAAATACAGCATATTCCAAACCTTGATTATATTTAAAAATAATAGCTGCTTCCTGGGTAAAATAATTAAGCTAAATAAGTATGAGCTATATTCCTGCTTCAGAAATAAAAGCTACAACATAATCAAACAGAATATAGCAAGAACTGAGCAATGTCAAGTAATACAGATGATTTCAGCTCAACAGTGGCCTAGAATATTAACTATGACCAAATCAAGGTTAATCTACACTCTAACATATTTTTATTTTTGAAATGCAAATTTCACCCTAGTCGTGCCTAAGACTTGGAAGATAAAAGTACATTATATTTTTGCCTTTTCCATTTTAAAAAGACATTTTCCCTAATTCCTTCTCATTCTTATCTCACTTATATAGTTATTACCAATAAACAAGAAACTACAGTCCCTCTATTTCTAAATTTCTACTAAAGTTATGACTAACAGAAAATAGAATTCTATTTTCACAATACCAAGTCATTCAAATATTTATTGGCCATCTAACTACAATGAAGGCATTATGCAAAAGTTACGGGGCAATGAATTCAATCCTTCTCAAGATAGTACTTTGAATAGCTGCTAACTCAAAGCGTTTTTCTCAAGAAAACTGCAGTTGTTAAAATATGAAAAACTGCCCACAGTTTAGTTTATGTATACCCCTAGAGTTTAGTTAGTGTAGGTGTTACACGTGAGCATGTTCACAATTACTGTGGTGAAGTGTTTCCTCCCTTACAAAAATTCTCAACGTATCAGTTTCAGTTGGAGAGCTTAGAGTAAAAGAAATGAACTTAAGGGGAGAAAGCTTAGAAAATCTAAATCAAAATTAGCATAATGAGTTGCCTACATGTTTGTGAGGATGCCCAACCTCAAAAAACTAAACCAAACTTTCTACTAAATCATCTCAAAAACTAAACTACACAAGGATTTGGAGGGACATGAAGGTACTCTCAAAGTTTATCGGAGGCTTCAAACTCCTCAAAATATACAGCTGGTACGATGCTTCATTTATTTTAATGGTGAAGTACAAAAGAACAAGGACCTAGAGCAAACAGCAATCTTTGCACAGGTTAAACATATGGCTCACCTACTAAGGCAAACATTCCAACTTCTTGGAGGCCTTAAAAGACCTAAGAAATAAAGGCTAAGAAAGAAATCTTCAGGCACACAACACAGAAATTAAATAAGCAATATACAGCTTTTCTAAAGAACATACAAATTAAGTCAACAAAACAAAAATAAGGATAAAGATCTCAAACACAGGTGAAAGCAGAATGCTAGAAATAGCACTAAACAATTTAAGTTTTGCAATTATTACTTCTGGTAAACAGATGATGACAGCGTGAATAAAATTGTAAAAAAAAAAAAGATAAATTAGCAATTCTTAAAATTCAAATTTAAGAGAAATTCTTAACAGCCTGGTATCCAAATTCTAAATGAAAGTCAGGAATCTGGAATGAATGTGCTGGGAAATGCAAACGGTATTAAGTTTGCAAGGTCTCAGAGAAATTCAAGTATTGAAGCAGAGGACATTTCTATCAGTACACCACAATTAAAGAAATTCAAACATGACTGATAAGCACTTCCAGTTCAATATGGCCCATTAAGCACACATTTATCTTCTTTACCTTATAGTAGGTCCTTATGTTAAAATTACTATAATGAGGGAAGAAAACAAATACAACAGGAAAAGGGTCATCTGCAAGAGATGGTATCAACCCCACACTTCTAGAGAAAGAAAGAAAGAAAAAAACTTTAGCGTATCCACAAAGGAACCTAACAGCTGAGGATGAGACTAATCAACCTTACAAAATCTTGGATTATAAACAGGACTTGAAAAAAACCATACATGGCAGAGGGAAGAAGTGAAACTTTTGTTCAAAGACCAACCACTAAGAAAAGATCCCTACTAAAGGAAATCCTAAACAATGTACCGCAGGCAGAAGGAAAATGATCCCACATGGAAGGCTGAAGGTTCGAGGAAAAAAAAAATATTTTGTGCATAAACAATCAAAATTAAAAGTCAAAGAGAAAGAGAATAGATAAGCAAAACAGGTATATTATCTTTAAGCCTCAACATAGTTCCTGACTACAAAATTCATTTTCCTAAATTTGGATTCTTAGACATCTAGAGCAAGAAATATTCTGGCTTCTTCCTCAAAAAGGCCTTCAGTGCAAAGATAGAACACTCTATAAAAAAAGAACGTGAAGGGACGCCTGACTGGCTCAGTCAGTAGAGCATGCAACTCTTGATCTCAGAGTCATGAGTTCAAGCCCCACGTTAGGTGTGAAGTGTACTTAAAAAAAAAAAAAGAAGAAGAAAGGTGAAGCATAAGAAATAAATCATAGAAGACTAAGCAGCAAAGTAAAAGATGATAAAGGTACCTAAAGGAAGATGATAGGGTTTGAGAGGGAAAAGCAGCAGACATGGTGCTAATGCATTGATCAGGCATTCATATTCAAATATTAGAGTACAGGTTAAGAACATGTACTGTGTACCAAATTTATAGAATCTTGCTCCAATCTTATGAACTCTCTCATCTATAAAGTGAAAAACAAAAGTTCCTGTCACAGAGTTACTGTGAAAAGTTTTTTAAAAAAAATACTAAAAAAAATGTCCAAAAAAGTCAAATACTATCCCCAATACGCTTCCAATTATATTTCAATATTGTATCAAATTTTAGGCTGATTTAACATTATGGAAAATGAGAAAAATTGTGACAGACTAACTTATGTCCTGTGCAACTGTCCTGAATAAAATGAGCCTGACCATTTAAAAATAAGAAAGTGGGGGTGCCTGGGTGGCTCAGTCAGTTAAGCATCCAACTCTTGATTTCAGTTCAAGTCATGATCTCAGGCTCCCGGGACAGAGCCCCTCCTCAGGCTCTGAGCTCAGGAGTCGGCTTAGATTGTCTCCCTCTCCCCACTTGAACGCTCCCTCTCTCAAAATAAATAAAAATAAAAACGAGAATGTGTTCTTAACAGCAATCATTACATAAATGTAAAGGGTGCTAATTGCCAAACTTAATTTGAGTCTTTTATATTTACATTCACTTTATATTACGGTTGACCCTTGAATAACAAGGTTTGAACTGCACAAGTCCACCTATATGCAGGTTTTTTTCCCGATAAATAAAAGTACAATTTTCTATTCCTTATGGTTTTCTTACTGTTTTCTTTTCTCTATTTAAGAATATATAATACATGTAATATACAAAATATGTGTTAATCGCCTGTGCTAACAGTAAGGCTTCCAAACAACAATAACTATTAGAAGTTTTTTTTTGGGGGGGGTCAAAAGTTATACATGGATTTTCGACTGAAGGGACATTAAGGCCCCCAACTCCTGCATTGTCCAAAGGTCAACTGTTCTTACAAACGTGTTCATTTGTAAGAGAATTTGTTCAGATTCTCTCTCCAAATTCTCCTGACCTAAATCTTCCAAGTACTGAAGCTGTTGGATTCAAACAGTATCCAATGTCTCCTTCTCTACTTTCGCCATTTACTTTGTCAACTAGTAAACTATATGAAAAAACCCAAACTGCTTATTATTTAAAAGAGAAAATTTACGTACTGGCGAAAGACTTTAACACTTAAATAAAACTAGAAAGTAAGTGCTTCCTTCTGTAAATTACATGACCTTATTATCTCATAAGCAGGTATTCTTTTAAATGTAAGTTTAAAACATCTGGAGGCAGAGTGCCTGGGTGGCTCAGTTGGTTAACCATCTGCCTCCGGTTCAGGTCATAATCCTGGAGTCCTGGGATCGAATCCCATAGCAGACTCCCTGCTGAGCAGAAAGTCTGCTTCTCCCTCTGTCCCTTACCCTGCTCAGGATCTCTCTCTCTCTCCTCCCCTCTTTCTCAAATAAAATCTTAAAAAAAAGAAAACACCTGAAGGCAAATATTGGTTTAAGATTTTCATACCATCATTTTCCACTATCCTCACAAACTGTAATCTAACAGAAACTGACTTTAAATATCCCTTTATTATCTTGTTATTTATGATCTCCCAAGATTTATGAATAGTCTTTTTCCTTAAACACAAAGTCAATGGTGGGAGGAGGATGAGCTCAATTCTTTGGAGAAAAAGTTATAATTAAAATAGTGCCATCTGTAGCACAAAGTAATTTGGTAACATGTATAGTTAAGAGCGGACATCTCAATTTTTCATCCCTTCTTCCACTACTCTTCATGTAGGTATCGTGAATATATTTTCAGATTCAGTCCCTTATTATTTTATTCTGATCTCTCACTTAGAAATTCCTTTTGCGGGCGCCTGGGTGGCTCAGTTGGTTAAGCGACTGCCTTCGGCTCAGGTCATGATCCTGGAGTCCCGGGATCGAGTCCCGCATCGGGCTCCCTGCTCAGCAGGGAGTCTGCTTCTCCCTCTGACCCTCTTCCTTCTCGTGCTTTCTATCTCTCATTCTCTCTCTCAAATAAATAAATAAAATCTTTAAAAAAAAAAATTCCTTTTGCTTTTTAATAAGTCTACTAGAATATGCACTGCTTACTAGGTTTGAATATAACTTAGCTAACATTCATTACACACCTATAACGTGATCAAGGATTTTATACAACAGATTGATTTTATAGTTAAATATTTTATACAATTTAATATTAACCATGCTTTTCTCATTAAAATTGTGATCATCCTCAGGACACCTGGGTGGCTCACTCAGTTAAGCATCTGCCTATGGCTCAGGTCATGATCCTGGGGTCCTGGGATCCAGTCCCACATCGGGCTCCTTGCTCAGCGGGATGTCTGCTTCTCTCTCTGCCTGCTCTGCCTACCACTCCCCCTGCTTGTGCTCGCTGACAAATAAATAAATAAAAGCTTAAAAAAAAAATTTACGATCCTCATCTCACAGAAAATTCACTCAGATTAAGTCATCTGCCCAAAGTCTAAATAACCATTACGTAAGTAAAAGACCTAATGTCTGGACCCAGGTCTATCGGTTTCCAAAGCAAATACCCTTAACCACTATACTATACTAGTGGAGAAAACGGAAATTAAAGTATTGCTAGGCCATATACTTCAAAATGTTTACCATCCCCAACTAAAAATACTACTAATAGGCCTATAACTAAATGTTCAGAATGAGAAGCCTGTTAAGTGCATACTACCAAGTGAGGTCAAAGTCCACTGTTTTCTGATGCCAAGTTACTGATTTAGGTTCCTTATTATCTTTATCTAAGAAAAGAGGCCATGTGAATGTGTGAACAAAAGCATATAGCCAAATGAAGGGTGAAATACATGTGAATTAAATTTTCACACTAACTTGAAGAGGGAATTTAGTCACATAAGACAGTAATACACAAATATCAAACTCAATCTGTACCACAGCAATTAAGACAATTCCCTATTGTGAACACTAATTTTAATGCAGAAAATTAAAAGTTTCTGATTTATATAAATTGATGCTGTTTTAGGGGCGCCTGGGTGGTTCAGCTGGTTAAGCGACCGCCTTCGGCTCAGGTCATGATCCTGGAGTCCTGAGATCGAGTCCCACATCGGGCTCCCTGCTCAGCAGGGAGTCTGCTTCTCCCTCTGACCCTCCCCCCTCTCATGTGCTCTCTCTCTCTCTCTCAAATAAATAAAATCTTAAAAAAAAAAATTTGATGCTGTTTTAATCTTTTTGGTTTTCAGTTTTTTTAAATTTTATGTACAGGGCGCCTAGGTGGCTCAGTTGGTTAAGTGACTGCCTTCGGCTCAGGTCATGATCCTGGAGTCCTGGGATCGAGTCCCACATCGGGCTCCTTGCTCAGCAGGGAGTCTGCTTCTCCCTCTGACCCTCTTCCCTCTCGTGCTCTCTCTCTCTCATTCTCTCTCTCTCAAATAAAATCTTAAAAAAAAATTTTTAAAAATAAATTTTATGTACAAATCTGTTTAGATTTATAGTAATGTGAGCCTCAAACAAATGAGATTCACTAACTTATAATTTATGCCAACAGTAGGGGTATGGTGTTTTTCTTTAACAAGATCCCCTACATTACTCACACTTCTCAAAGAATAACAACTTACATGACGAATAAATAATACTTCTAACTCCGACCCACTGAAATTCAACTTGTCAAATTATCTAATAAAATCTTATTAATTTTCCCTTTTCAACCTTGAACATATCTTGGAACACATTTTTCTTCTCGTTGTAAGTTTAACAACTATTTTCATAAAAAATATTAAAGTGGAGCCATTTCCACATATAAACTATCAAAAGAATGCTTTTACAAAGACATTCAAGAAGTATTATTCCTTTCTCTTAATTCTGTATAGAAAGTTCATTTAAAAAAAAACAACTTATTACTGGTTTTCATCATAATCTAACTCAATATAACATGTCACTCAATCTGTATGCTTTTGGCTACTATATTGGAATTCTCTAGAAAATAACCCATCTTTAAGAAATAGTCACTAATGTGCTTTTAGAAAGCTAAACAAATGAAAATTCTTCATTATCAAATATGAGCAAAAATCAGGAAAGATCAAGTTATCAAGGAATAGACACAAAAATAAAAGCTGAACTGAAGACTGCTTAAGTTAATTACTAGTGAATGAAATTTTTCATTATTTAGTATCTTAAGTACTAAATGTTAGCTTCTGCCAGTAATATATTGCTGACATAATCATCAACACAAAAATAGCCAGTAGGACTTCTGAAAACACACAAATCAACAGTCACTAATTATGTCTCAAATAGCATACAAACACATACACATCATTTTTTCTCTTTCTCACCTCCCAAATAAATCAGTCACACAACTTTAATATTTTTAAATTGTCACAGGCACACTCAAGTACCTTTTTCTTTTAGTTTTAAATTATTAAGGACGTAGAGATAAATTTAGTAAGCATTAATCTTAGGCACTCAACAACGGTGATCCTAATTAAGATCAAAATAATAAAGAAGTCACAGATAAAAGCTACATGAAGGTGTTTCCGAAAAAGCTAATTAAGTTCTAAGTAAAATTAAACTTATGTAACTGTATTTTAAGCAGGTTAACTACTTTCCCTCAGGTATTTTTTTTTTTTGCTGATATATTATTGCTTAGACTCTTGCAATTTCTGATCTACAAAAGGACAGTTTCAGGGACAAACTGGTTTGTTTTTTTAATATTTATTACATTTCTGTTATTAAATTTTTACTTACCTGGAAGGAAGTAGCACTAGAAAAGTTCTACTGAAGTCTTTCCTAAAATTCTCTCATGTCTTCCTCAGGAACATTGCTATTTTAAATGTTGCAATGGGGAAAACAGTATTTGGGAACCCAGGGGGGAAGTGAGAAAGGAATAGTGAAGTGTAATACAATGAAAACTTCATTGTATTCCTATGGGAAGTACTGGGAATTTAACAGTTAATCAAGCCACAATTAACCATTTTTTTTTCTAATGCAGACACACTTCTTAGTTTACCTAAGGCACAGTAAAGAGTACATCTTCCTTTTAAACATCTTTTCAACTAGTGCTCAAAATCCTTAGACCAACCCTGAAACAGCAGAACCAAAATCTTTATATTAATACATTTTATTCTCAATATTTTCAAAGATGTATTTGCCTTTAAATCATTTCTAAAATTATTAAATTAAGCAAGGATCAGTACCAATAGTATCTATAGGTAGTTTTATATGACAAATGCTCACTGACATTGATTTTTAATTTACTTTCATTCTAATCAAATCCAAATTATTCCTAATTTCTTAGAGATTCTGTTTAACACCTTCCAGGTGGTTCTATATTCTTAAGCAATCAGCTGTTCCCAGAAAAACTGAATAATAAGGAAACATACCTAAGAGAGGAGCTTGGGAGATTTTTTTGGTTGGGTATGTGTGTGTCTGGGCGTGTAGGCCTGGGGAGAGTGGTAGAAATACTAATTTGCAATACAGAAAAAACAATGCCATTCACATGGTTCTAACAAAAGTGTCTGACCACCCCCACCCCCACCCTCAAAAAGCCCTTAAATAAATCGGGAGATTAAAAGAAAACAAGGTAATTCCCCAGAGTATCACCCCATAAATACAAGAACAGCAGAGGAAGTGGCAAAGTTTAAAATAATGCCTTTGTCATTAGGACTAGTATGCTGTCACAAGCCACAATCCTTTTGTTTTGGTAAGTTGATAATTTTCAATAGGAAAATACAAATGAACATGTGTAGAAGTTCCAAAGTGGATTCATCAGCTTTGAATTTGGCATCAAATAATTTTTCAGATATCAAATCTTCATATTAAAATTTTTCCATTATTTTAAACTTCACTTGAATCTTTAAAAAGCTGTCTGATTTGTACTATGAGTGCAGTTTAATCTGCTGTAAGATGCTATCAAATTAAACTCAGCAGTTTTAATGAAAAGGGAGTCATTACCCAAAAAATGTCATTAAGTTTTGACAATCAAAAAGGCAAATAATTTCAAACATAGATTAGTTCCACAGGCAAATTTATACAATTATTTAATACTCTCTATGTATAACCATTTTTGTAAGTAAAAAGATTAATTTTATGTCACAGGATGATTAGAAGTACTTATCTTTCCAGTTAAGTAAGTTTTCAACTGTGAAAAACTAAAAATTAATTTAAACTAAGATTTTTGTTTCCTTAGATTATCAGGCTGCTCTTGAAATGACATTGATTCATTACATTAACTTACAACCCTTAAAAAAAAACTGAATTCATGACTATACTTAATGGTACTAATACGTGCAAATCAAGTCTTTCCAATCAAACTCTTTCTATCCCCAATATCCTGTTTTTAAAAGTGCTACCTTTTTATGCAGCTGAGCACTCAAAAACATATTTAAGAGTAAGTTTAATTCTAGCCTATTTATTTTTAAAAACACAAAGAAGTGAAACCTATGAACATTTTATACCCCTCAAAGATAGATTAAAAATTACTTACCCCATACACCTGCAGCTAAAGATTTATTCTGATTTGGTTCTCTCTCATACTCAGGATTTAAAGACGGCTGAAAGAAATTGGAATAAAAAGAATAAAACAAATGTTCACACTGCCCACAGATTTTAAAAATAAACCTTTTAGGGGCGCCTGGGTGGCTCAGTTGGTTAAACATCTGCCTTGGGCTCTCAGGTCATGATCTGAGGATCCTGGGATCCAACCCTATGTCAGGCTCCCTGCCCATGAGCACGCTCTGTCAAATAAATAAATAAAATCTTAAGAAAAAAAAAATAAGTAAACCTTTTAAAAGTAATCTCAAAACCATAATGAAGGGGCACACCCAGGCAGCTCAGTTGGTTGAGCATCCGACTCAGTTTCGGGTTAGGTCATGATCTCATGGGTCCGGGGATAGAGCCCCACGTGGGCCTTGGCACTCAGTGGGCAGTCTGCTTGAGATTCTCTCCCCCTCTACCTACCCCTACCACCCCCCACCAGGCGCATACTTGGGCACGCTCTCTCACATAAATTAAAAAAAAAAAAAAAAAGCATACTGGGGTGCCTGGGTGGCTCAGTCAGTTAAGTGTCTGCCTTCAGCTCAGGTCATGATCCCAGGGTCTTGGGATCGAGTCCTTGTATCAGGCTCCCGGCACAGCGGGAAGCCTGCTTCTCCCTCTCCCACTCCCTCTGCTTGTGTTCCCTCTCTCACTCTCTGTCAAATAAAATCTTAAAAAAAAAAAGACTAATTATTCATAAACCTTACTTTCAGCTTATTCTGCTAACCATCCAAATGGTTACTATCTATTCTCACTTCCCGAGGGAAAACAAAGAAATAATCTTTAAATATTATTATCCTCAGGGTGCCTGGGTGGCTCAGTTGGTTAAGCGTCTGCCTTCAGCTTGGGTCATGATCCCAGGGTCCTGAGATAAGAGTCCCACACCGGGCTCCCTGCTCAGCGCTCCCAACCTTAGTTAGCCCTTCACACTAATTCTTCCCCTCTTCCTTCCAGTTTTAACAAAGATTACTCCTTACCAAGTAGGTCACAGGTTAAATGTCACTTCCCTAGAGAAATCTCTCCTGACCTCCCAAAGTAGCCACCCAGTCACTTGTCTAAATTCTCTGCAAAATACTACTTTTTCATGTCATGAATGCATCTAATAGAATAGAAATTAAGTGAGAGTAAGCACCTTGCTATCTTGTTCCACGTATCAACAGCTAGACTCATATAGCCACTCAAGAAGATACGGAATGAAAAATGAGCGTATACAGAAAAAAAAATTACCAAGGATGAATCACAAAAAATACTAAATAAGATGGTACACTAGATCAATTTTTTATGCAACTGGAGAAGCACAGTGTTTAGATAGCCACACAGTGAGATTTAAGAATAAGGAAAAATTAAGAAAATTCTTTCTGATTAGTTCGTACTTTTTTTTCCTTTTTAAAGATTTGATTTATTTATGTAACAGAGAGAGACACAGCGAGAGAGGGAACACAAGCAGGGGGAGTGGGAGAGGAAGAAGCAGCCTTCCCGCTGAGCAGGGAGCCCAATGTGGGGCTCGATCCCAGGACCCTGGGACCATGATCTGAGCTGAAGAGAGACAACTCAACCGACTGAGCCACCCAGGCGCCCCAAGAGGGAGGTTAACATTTCTAATTATATCTAACCCAGGCTAACAATTAGTTTGCTTTCCCTGACCACTAAGAAACTTTTGAATAAAGTACTTGAAAGAGAAGGAGAATTATCCTGGAATTAGCTTAAGAGTAATATATGAATAATCAAATGTTATTTAAAAGAGACAGTCTAAACAAGACATACTGGTAAAATATTCTTTCCAAAAGCTTAAAAGCTTTTTAGAGATGAAAGTTTTTAAAAGATTATATCATGGGTGCCTGGGTGGCTCAGTCGGTTAAGCGTCTGCCTTCGGCTCAAGTCACGTTGCCAGGGTCCTGGGATCAAGCCCTACTTCAGGCTCGGGAGCCTGCTTCTCCCTCTCCTCCCTGCTTGTGATCTCTCTTGCTATCTTGGTCATTATCTCTCTCAAATAAATAAAAGATCATAAGACACAGGAGTAAGTAGGAGGAGGGAGGGGAATTGGAAAGGGAGAATTATATAAACAAAGAGCCTCACAAAAGGAAGGATTAAAAATAACTGAACCTGGTGGAGGGGTAGGCTAGGGGGCTCAGTCAGTTGAGTATCTGACTCTTGATTTCAGCTCAGGTACTTTATCCCAGGGTCATGAGACTGAGCCCCGCGTCGGGCTCCATAGTCGGCAGGGAATCCTCTTGAGATTCTCTCCCCCTCTCCCTCCCCCTGCTCCCACTCACACACATGCATGCGCCCACTCTCTAAAATAAATAAATTATAAAAAATAAAAATTTAAAAATAAAAAAATAATTGAACCTGTCTGGTGTGATTTCTACAGAAAATGAACCGTACTGATTAAAACCTCATGAGAAAGCCTTGACATTAAAATGACACTTGCGGAAATCTCGTTTGTATTTAAACTACAAGAAACTTACAAAATCCTCAGCCTCAAACTGTTTGCGTTCTCTCTTGTCTTCTTTCCTCCCCGTTTCATTGTCAGGTATGCTGTTTTCATGTAGTCCTTGGCTTTTTCCAGAATGGAAAATATTGCTACGAGAACGGGAACTTCCACCACCATGGTATCCCCCTCGATGATTTATGTTTTCAGTACCATTTCTTCCATGCATCCGCCATCCATTTTTTTCTTTCCTTCCAAAATTACCTTTATTTGATAATGGTAAAGTATTATAAACTCAAAAATGGTTATGCCTAAATATTAATCACTGTCTACATTCTTAAAAGCATGAAGAAAATTATCCTTAAGCTTTTATTTCTTAGCAAATTTTACCTCCATTAGGACGTCCAATACCAGAATCAAAGCCATCTGAGGAGTTGTGTCGTCGACGATTCACATCAAAACGATTTTCTGTCCATGAAAAGTTTTCAGAATGCTTCTCAAAATTTATTGACGACTGAAACAAAATAAGCCCACAGGTAAACATACATATAAAACCTGGCTTAATTTATTTCCAAGATTCTAAATGGTTAAGAACATTCTGTAGTTACTTTCAGTGTATTTGATACTGGTAACTTATTACAGATTCCGCTGTTGGGTCTATTTTGTCTAAAAGAAATCATTCTGAAAGAGGTTAACGACATCTGCTTACCCAAAAACTTTAAAAGTAAAATGCCACCATAAGAAAAACAAGGCAAAACATAGTGTACTTCTCTTACATACCAAAATGTAAAACTCCGTATCATACATTACTTGATTTAAAATAGCTCAAGGTTTTCTTTAGTATCAGAAAAGTTATGGCAAATGAAGTTAAAATTCTAAGTTCCTCAGATTTATTTCCAAACTCTTCCCCAAAACAAATGTTTTTTAAAAATTCTCCAAATAATATATAGAGGCACCTAGCTGGCTCAGTCAGTGGAGCATGCAACTCTTGATCTCAGTGTTTTGAGTTCAAGCCCCACGTTGGGTGGAGGGATTACTTATGAATAAAATCTTAAAAAAAAAAAATGTACAAGAATTATTTTTAGGGGCGCCTGGGTGGCTTGGTCGGTTAAGTGTCTGCCTCCAGCTCAGGTCATGATCTCAGGGTCCTGGGATCAAGCTCCCTGCTCAGCAGGGTGTCTGCTTCTCCCTCTGCCTCTCCCCAGGCCCCCTGCTTGTGCTCACTCACTCTCTCTCAATAAATAAAATCTTTAAGATTTTATGTATTTATTTGTGAGAGAGAGAGAGAGAGAGAGAGAGAATGTGTGTGTGTGTGTGTGTGTGTGTGTGTGTGCACACACACACCAGCTGGGGGAAGAGCAGGCAGAGGGAAAGGGAGAAGCAGGCTCCCTGATGAGCAGGGAGCCCAACCACGCAGAGCTTGATCCCAGAACCCCGGGATCATGGCCTGAGCCGAAGGCAGACGCTTAACCAACTGAGCCACCCAAGTGCCCCTAAATAAAATCTTTAAAAAAAAAAAAAAAAAAACCCAAAAACTATTTTAAAAATTAGGAATCTATAGGGACGCCTGGGTGGCTCAGTCGGTTAAGCGTCTGCCTTCGGCTCAGGTCATTATCCCAGGGTCCTGGGATCGAGTCCCATGTTGGGGTCCCTGCTTGGCGGGAAGCCTGCTTCTCCCTCTGGCCTGCCGCTCCCACTGCTTGTGCTCTGACAAATAAAATCTTTTAAAAATAATAATAAAAATAAAAATTAGGAATCTATAAAAATCATGAATGTCACAACTGTTTATAAACGTCGCTGTTCTTTCCCAGTATTAACCCATTAATCTGATAAGATCATAATCAAAACTTCAAACCTTTTCTTAAAATGCCCTGACCACTTCTCTGGGCTGGATTTATCTTACAACCACCTCCAGGACAATGAGCAGAGTCTCTCAGTTGCAATGTAAACCCACTGCACATACCCATGTCATCCACTGGGCCCCTCCACATTGTCACTGTGGGACTTACTGGTGCTGCTCCCCGGAGCAGCCTCATCCTCATTTTGCTTATTGTGCCATGAAAGATAAAGTCCCCTTGATTTCCTCGTATCTTCAGCCAGCATCCATGCAACAGTAGTAACAGGTCACCATGGTAGGCCCCCAAGCAGGGTAAAAACGCAAACCATTCACAGACCGCTAACAGTTTGGGTGGTGAGGATGTACACTAACAGAGCTTAAATTTTGTAGAAAAAATAAATACAAGGGTCTCTAGGCCACATTAGGGCCTAAGCGAAGACTCTCACGATTCTGGCAGCAACAGCTGTCATCCAAGTGACAGGTGAAAGTTAAGGGTCCCTCAATGTTCAGCGGTCAACTGGCAAAGAGTAGAATTGAAACCAGGTGTCCAAACAGTGCTTTAGGTTTGGTAACTCTACCAAGCAGAAGGAGGGGATTTTTTAATATGACAATGGAGTCCCACCTGAAAGGCAAACACTGCTGTGGCTGCTGAACCAAGACAACTCCAAAGATGAAACAGAGGTCAGCAATGAGGATACAGAGTTTTGGGAAGATTAAAAAGTCATTAGAAGAAAATCTGTTAAGGCTACGGTCTACTTGGAAACAAAATAAATGCAGAACCTAGCTTCCTGGAGGGGAAGTGTTCTGTACCCTCTGTACTCCCTGATCCCTCCCTTCCCTACTAACATCAACCTCAGCAGCCTTTATGAGAATGTCAAGTATACTAGTATTTAAGGAAAGGGACAAACTTTTATAGCTCTGCTAGACACACATGCTCAAGTCACCATCTACCCACTCCCAAGAGGAGTGAGACAGTACTAAGCATAGGGATGGCTGAAAATACTGAGGAATGTGGGAAAGGACAGGTCAGTGTGGTGCATGGGGGCAGGAAAGGCCCCATCCTGTGAGTCTGCTGAAGCCAGAAGGTACACAGGAGAAGAAGCAACATCAACCCTGGATTGAGGAAATCAGAAGAGAAACAGTAAGCCTACAAGCCACGCATGCAATCCCCAAAAGGGTTATCTTCTCCTCTACCGTGTACTTTCCCACATTCACAGATGAAGAAATCATGTAATCTCCCAAAAGCCTGGATTGTAACCCTGAAGTGCATGTACAAAACTTCTTAGTCTGTGCCACTGTAGTGAGAAAAGGTGCCCCAAAGACCCAATTTGACTGACTCTGAAGTCTGAGGAAAATTCAGCAGTAGGAAAGAAAAATTAAAGTGATCTTGCAGGTGAGGCTTTTAGAGCAATTCAATGTACTATTGTTGTTATGTTTGAACTTGGTACTAATTGTTACTGAAAATGCTCAAGATTTTTCCATTCAGGGAATACCACAGGATGACAGATGATTCCTGTCCCCTTCCAGGTAGTCTAGCAAAAAACACTATATGATCCCAGAAGGAAAGAAAGAAAAAAAAGAGAGATATAGTTGGAAAACTTGATGGGCAGTGGAATACTCAGAGGCTATTTCCCAGTATAGCAGTGCCATGTGCCTGCCATGTACACCCCCTTTTTAAAGGGTATATGGCTCTTGCCCTACTGCTGAGCTCTTAAATGAAAGTGAACCAGAAAAGGGGGCCCATTAAGGCTCCTGATCAAATGCAAAGTATTTGAGCATGCAGCTGACCTGGCCACTGGGACATTTGTTTTGCACGAAGAAGTGGCAACTACCCTCTGGGGTAAACCTTATTCCCCTCCCTGAGACCATAACAAGATCCTGGTTCAATAAGGCTCTCAAATCATAGTCCCCTAAATGCCTAGGTCTGGTTCACTGCTGATTCAACTCCGTTAAAAGAGGACAGTGTCCACTGGGTGGCAGCAGCCATCCGCCCCAACAACTCTGGAAGACCAAGTGGCTAAGTATTATTTGGCACAATGGGCTAAAATAAAAACTACAACATTGGACTTCAGTATTAAGGACTAGACATTTTATGTTTTTCTGCCTCTTGGACTGCTGCCAATGCCCTAGTCATCTGGTAGATCACCTGAAAAACTAGAGACTAGCATATTAAAGGTAATTCTTTGGGGTTATAAACTGTGAAGCTGCTACTGCTGCTGAGACAATCTGAATCACTCAGATGCTTACCAGAAGATATGCTGGCATAAAGAACAACTAAAATCAGAATACTGCTTAAGTCTGTAGCACACTATCTAGATCCATCATCACACCAGACATCTAACTGTCCACTACCGTAGACTGGTCACAAAATAAACCACTTTTTCTTTCTGATGCAGAAGCCCCCTCTGCATGCTAACCTGTGAGCCTGCCAAAAGTTGGTCCATTTGTCCCACTGTGAAGGAGGCCACATTACACATTACACATCAAACCTGTGATCATTTCTTGGAGTTATCAAGAGTGTTTCATCACTCTTGAAATTTTTTCAGGTTACAGTGTTACTGTTGCAATCTGACTGGCTAACTCTGGTCACTCGATTGTGACCCTTGAAATTAATCCATGTCGTTTTTTGGACCATCAATATTCCAGTATTAGTGCATCTTTTGTCATGAAGGTCAACCTGCAATGGGTCAATATTTAAGTAGTATACTCAAGACATTATACACACCCTACTATCCACAGGCATCCAGTCTATCAAAAAACAGAAATGGTTTCCTCAAAATTCAACTCAGAACAATCTGCAACTCTACATTCCTCAACTCTTCACACACTTTAATGAGACACTTTGGTCAATGAATGCAGCACGCCCAAAAAGAGATCATCTCTTCCTAGCCACTTCCTAGGTAGTAATTAGGATAAAAAAAAAAAAAAGTAAGAGTTATGAAATTATACAGACCTATTTCTTTTTTTTAAAGATTTTTAATTTATTTGAGAGAGAGAGACACAGTGAGAGAGGGAGCAGAAGCAGGGGGAGTGGGAGAGGGAGAAGCAGGCTTCCCGCTAAGCAGGTAGCCTGCGGGGCTCGATCCCAGGACTCTGGGATCATGACCTGAGCCAAAGGCAGTCGCTCAACAACTGAGCCACCCAGGCGCCTCAATATACAGACCTATTTTTATCTCTTCACATGATGCTTCTTTCCCCTAAGAGAAACCGCAGGCCAAGCTACCTCTCAAGGTAATGTCTGGTCAAAAAGAAACCTAATGAATTCAAACAATCTGGTTTGGCCACCTGGATTCTCTTTTTGGTGCGACATGGTCCTACATCTGAAAACAGTGACCATTTCCTTCAGTATACTTCTCACCAAGTACTCCGTACAGTGTCCAATGTGGACTAGGGTGAGCATAATGGGTCTCTGCAATTATGTAAAAATGTCCTTAACCCACTTACATCCAACTCTTCCAGATAAAAAATCTGGGTGCGAGTAGGAAATTTTTAAGTGACGTCAGCTATCCAAATAAGACACACCAATTTCATGGGTATAGAAAGAAAAAACCCCTAGCATCTGTAGAGGGAACATCTTTGACTCCAGAAGGTGCAGGAAGGAAAAACAATTATTGCTCTATCTCCTAGAACCAGCACCACTGCCTGAATCATACAGAAGCTGGAGAAAACATTGATCA